TTCAAATTGAGACATTCTCAGTCTTTCCCATACTGTGGTACCACCTCACAGTTCCACCATGTTCTCTATTGGTAAGTGCTGTTTCCAGCAGCGTGGAGTTTCCAGAGCACAGCAGTACTGTGCTCACGAGGTGTGTGGTACCAGACACACCCACACGTTTCAGCAGCACGCTATACAAAACAAAAACCAAGTTTGGTACATCATGTTTCCAATTTACCTCCGTAATAAAGGTTTATCATCTTCTGTAAAGAAAGTGACAGCTTTTCCTGTGTGCCCTGCTCTTCCAGTACGACCTGCCAAACACAAATTTTGCAAAGAGTAGAGATTTTACTTTAAATATCTCCCTTTATTCTATTCTTCTTCCCAGCCCCAGCCTCCTGACATGTGTCAGTACACTAAGCATACTGCCAAGCTGCCAGTCCCCAAAGATTGTTCCTATTGAATGAAAGCACAGGTATGTTGGAAGTGCCTAAATATTTACAGTTCATACAAGACTGACAAAAAGTAACACAGTTTTACTGAAAGCTGAGCCCAGATATAAACTGGCTCAAGCGACGTGGAAGCTAGCGCTGCAGCAACACAAGAGGCTTGGTTTCAGGATTTTGGCTCATGCACAAAAGCATCTACATTAAAGATGTAAGAAATTAGAAAAAGGCCACATTTGGTGAACAATCACTCACCTATCCTGTGGATGTATTCCACTGCACTCGTGGGCATATCGTAATTAATGACCATATTCACACCTTTGAAGTCAATCCCTCGAGCTAGTAAGGCTGAGCAGATGAGCACCCAGATCTTCCCAGCTCTGAAACTGCGTACTACATTATCTCTCTAGAAAAAGAAAAGAAAGGTACTTGGAAACAGCCTAATTAGGGCTTTGAGAAAGGAGGTGAACTTGTTTCCTGAAAGCTGCCACGATGCTAACAAATAAAACTAAACCTCTAAACAAAACCTGCAGTAATTTACTGTCACAGTTACCTGAAGCTACATTAGAAAGAAACGTAAAAAACAAGAGTCTTGTAAAGTGTTTCTTGAAAAGAAATTCTATCCTCCTACCTGTTGCTGAGTTTTGTCTGCATGGATGACATCCACATTGATGCCTTCGTAAATAAGTTCATGGAAAAGCTCTTTAGCCCTCTCAATAGACTGTACAAAAACAAGGACCGGAGGAGCAAAACCCTGCAAAAGAATAAGCCTGTCTAAGGTTCAAGTGCTTTTCCCACCATTATTGGTTACAGACACTGAGCTACTAAATAGACTTAACCAGCCCCAGTATTTTACACCTCAGAGCATAGTTTTTTGGGGCTTTTTTGACTAGCCAAATCTTTGGGACTCAGAACTGAGCAAATTCAGCTCCATTACCTTTGATGGAAAGGTTCCTAAGGTAACCATCAGGCTGCATTTTAATCCACAGAAACAAACAGATTTATTTTTTCCACCCTATGTGAAGAACCCACTCACGCTGCTGAGTAAAATTAAACGGGCTGTTAACTGCTCCCGAGTGACTCAAACACATAACCAAGAACGAGGAACCCTCTCAGTCTTCACAGCTGGGGTCCTTCCTCTTGTACAGCAGATTTGGACAATGGGTTAACATGTGTCACAGAGAAGTCCTTGCCCCAGGAAATTATGAGTCTCTGACAGAACACACAGCTCAGTAGTAAGCAGAACGTACTCAATCTCTCCAAAATACCTTCTTAACAAGCTCTCTCATTGCCGTTAGTTTTCCTGTCTCAGATCCAACAAACAACAGTTCTTGTTCTACTGTCTCGGCTGCACAGTTTCTGAAACCAAAAATCCAATAGAGGTGTGCTACTGTTAAGAGTTTACTTATAAACACTAAAAAACATAAAACATCACCTGGTAAATGAGAAACATTGCACAACAAACTTATTTCACCAGTGCATGCTTCTAAGATTAATGTGTAGTTGATGATAAAGTAATGGGTAAAGGAAAACAACACTTTCCCCAATATGTGAGAAAGATTTCTATGCCTACACAATTATTTCTGGAGACAACCAACCTGCAGTAATAAGACTAACAACAGAGACATACAACCAAGCAGACTGAAGATGCAAAGAAAACAAGTAATTCGCCCAGGAAAGGAAACAAAACCAAACCATGAGACAGTCAGAGTACACCTGCACACCTACCTCGCTCCAACAGACACCAGAACAACACTGTCAAGGGTAAGTTTACACCACTCCTCTACGTCTCGTGCAAAGGTTGCGCTGAACAAGGCTCTTCTCACCAGGTGGGATGTGCATGCCAGGAAGATGGAGGCCAGCTGGTCACGGAACCCCGACTTCCCGTCTTCAAACAGTTTGTCTGACTCATCCACCACCAGCCACTCCACACTGGGAACAGAGAGGTTTTCTTTTCAGTAAGAGTCACTTGTGGAGAAGGCAAAAATTCCATCAGACCATCGCAGATGCGAGGACTACGCACACATCTGCTTTTCAGTGGCAAAGCTAGTAGCAAAGCCAGATTTGATAGAGACTCTCAGTACCTGGTCAAGTCTATTGCTGGAGGATCTTGTTTCAGCAAATAAATGAGTCTGTTTGGAGTAGTAACTAGTATATCTATGGGGGGAAAAAAAAAAACCAAACAAAACATTAGCAGAGCCCTGAGAAACACAAGCTCCAGTCCGACCTGCCAAAGGTACAATTAACAAGGTCCCCCATCAGACTCGCTTCCTAGTTCTCCCACACCAGCTACTTTTTTAGTGTTGAGCAATAGATTGCACCTCTTGAGTGGTATTAACCAATCTCTTTAAAACCACACAGGCCAGAACAGGAAGGTCAGTGACATTTTTTAAATTTTTTAGAAGCACTTCAAGTAGTTAAAAACAATTACCAAATTTTTTAGAAGACTTGGGCCCAAACTTCTTTGCTGCATCAGCTGCCTTGTGGATCATATGTATCCTGAAGCCTGTCCCCTCAGCCAACCTCACCAGCTCCCGATGTGTCTGAAAAGGCAGTTAAGAGATTCCATTTTCAAACTGAGATGATTAGCTTTTCTAACCAGAAAAACTGCAGACAGTCACAGAATCACAGAATATTGGAGATTGGAAGGGACCTCGAAAGATCATCCAGTCCAATCCCCCTGCCAGAGCAGGAACCTAAATGAGATCACACAGGAAGGTGTCCAGGCGGGTTTTGAAGACTGAGTTTCAAACACCACCTCCATTTCCATGCTAAGAAAAAGCTGCCCAGTTTTCTTAGCATAATAAAATGCACCTTTTAACACGTGTTATTCACTTGGAAGTTCTCACAGGTCTGACTACCATATTTTGACTCTAACGCTGTAGCTCCTGTAAGTCCCCTCTCCTATTTGAAAAAAAAAAAAAAATGGAACTCTGCCCAAAGTCATATTTTTTATTTCATTTTAATAACAAAGCTTCAATATAAAGTTATTCCTTGAAATTCTGTGTTTGGGACAAACAGATAAATCTCTTGTAGGAATCTCAAATATAAAGGTAGATATTAAGAGCACCTAAGCATTGGGCAGTTTTAAAATATGATGAAAGAATCTTGAGCCTCTGATCTAATCATCTAGATTAGAGTGAGATGGTAGATATGTCACTATTTCATAAAAGACAAAAGACTTAAACCAAATGCTTCAATTAGCTTTTTCTGATATCTGAGAATAATAAAGGAAAAAAATATTTACTAAGCTGCTATTTTATCGATTCAGAGTGAAAACTTTGGAGTACATCAATAAGACAACATCCTCTTTTCCCTCAGCACACACCTGGCTAGCGAGTTCTCGCGTAGGCGATATGATCAGAGCTCTGAATCCTTTGTTCCTGGGTTGTTTCAGATGTGCTAGGAGAGGAATACAAAACGCCAGGGTTTTTCCAGACCCAGTAGGAGCTGAAGCTAGAAGCTCCCGACCCTGTAAGGAAAACAAGAAGGGTGTTATATTTTACTAGAAAAAAAACCCCCAAAAACCAAAATCACATCACAAAATCACAAACTAACCCAAAACACACATTATAACAGCCGAGTTTTGAACTCTGATGCAGCTGATCCATCTCTAAAGCTGTGGTACTAACCACTGTCTTAACGCTAAAGAGTGGCCACTCTCCAAATTTTGCCATATTCCCTGTAATAAAATGCAAATAAAATGCAATATCAGAAAACTTACATGAAGCATGACGGGAATGGCCTGCATCTGGATGGGTGTTGGGACCTGGAAGCCAGCAGCCTGAATGTTCTCTATGATTTTAGGGTGGATTTTGTATTCCTTTTGAAGCTGATCAAACGTGGCAATTGGGTCGGGAAGATCTGTGCCCTGAACACTGATCCTGTGTCTGTTTCTGAAGCGGTTTATCTAAAAGGCAAAAGACAAACTCTTTCTTTCTTTGACAGTATAAAACTAAACACATATGGATTCATCTTCTGGTTACTCTCCCCATACTCAGTCACCCTCCTCCCAAGAGAAATGACCACAAATGAACCTCAACTTTTGGATGAAACATCCCCAGAAACCCAGTTATCTGTTACTACGTTAGAATTTCGTGGTCCCACCTTTTCTCTTCTTAAGCGTTCAAGCTTTTCTGCAGTAGGTTTTTTGTCTTTTGCATCTTCAACTTTTGCTTCCAGAGAGGACATCCACTTTATTCCGTTATTTTCTGACAACTCTGGCATTGATGCTGTTTGTGGAAGTTTCAAAAACATTGAATTTCCATTAGTAAAATCCAGACAAAAATTATTTGGTAAAAAAGGACATCTCAAAACCTTTTTTTTTTTTTTCTCTCTAATTCTCATTAAATTTAGTGAAGACTCCAGAAGGATGGCAACCACATCCCCGTGCCTTAACAACACTGAATCTTGGCCCAATTAGTTTATCAGCTCTGACACAGACCAGCAAAAGGACCCAGAAGCCTTTTTTTTATTCTTATAAAATGACCTACAGCACCTGGAGATTTAAAGTAAACTGAAACAAGCAAGAAGCATGAATTTCAGGTATTCTGCCACGTGTACATAAATACCTCGTGTCTTTTTCTTTTTTCTCTTCCCTTCACCACTTTCTGCACTTCTTTTTCTCTTTCCTGCCATCTCTCTGCCGTTTTTCCCTGCTCCATCCTCTTTCTGCTGCTCTCCACCCTCCACCTCCTCTTCACCCCCTGGGAGCCCACATCCCTCCTCGGCAGACTCCTGGGGGGCTTCCTCCTTGCACCCGAAGAAGTCGAGGCTCTCCAGCGAGACGCTGCCACCGCTCCCCTTTATCACCTGGGGGGAGAGAGCAAAGGGAAAAGGTTGAGCCACCCTAACCGGCCCCCCCGGGGGTCTCGCCGCGTGGAATACACAAGCCCCAGGGGCCCCGTGACTCGCAGGGGACGGTGCCCACACCGGTGCCAACCTCTCCCGGTGTTACCGCACCCCGAACCGCCGCGCATCTTCCCCGAAGCGCCGAACATCAAACCGAGCACCGGCACCTAAGCGCCGAAATAACTCCTGCGCCTCCATGTTGCCTCACAACCCAACAACCCCCTGCGCCATTATCCTCCCGGAAATAACTAGTACTTCCGGGAAGGTGGAAGCGGGGCCGTGCACGTGGCTGCCTGGGTATCCTAGCAACCACCCGGCGGGGTGTCATGGCGCGCCGCGTTGCCATGGTAACCGCGCGGTTAGGCTC